TGCCCATCAACTGGAGGAGACTGGATAAAGAATATGTGGGGTTTTTTAATAAAATGGAATACTACTCAGCCATAAAAAATGAGAAATTAGAGACATTTATAGCTAAATGGATGCACTTGAAGTGATACTTTTTTTTTGAAGTGATACTCTTAAGTGAAATAAATAGGACAGACGTGTAAATACAGAATAGTTTCTCTAGTGTGAGAAACTGAAAGTGTAAATATGGACTAAAAGGAATAATAGATAATGTGAAATAGGAAGAAAAGGGGCAAAGGGGAAGGGGAAGTGGGAGGAGTAGGGGAAAGGAAAGAAGGGAAGGGAATTAATATGAGAAAATGAAAAAATGGAAACAAAGTCTTTGTAAATAGGAAGGGATGGAGGGGTAAGGAAGGGAAATGGGGAAATGGGGAAAAAATAAGAACCAAGAGAGACTATGTAAAGGTGCAAATCTCCATTGATGAATATCACTATATTGTATAACTAAAATGTTCCAATAAAATAAAATAAAATTAAAAAGAAGACAAGCCTGTCTCAACCAGTGGAGGACTGTCTTGTATTTAATCTATCACTTGGAATATGGGGCTTCAAGGAAGGGGATTTATCAAAGGATCCAGATTGGATGAACTCTCAGATACACTACAGTGTGGACCTAATCCTGATCTGGTAGGAAAATGATGGAATATATCCAGCACCTACAATGTCCCTCCTTCAAGGGTTGGTGACTAGACTCATTCCAGTCACCTTGCAGGAAGGGACTCCTTGAATGGGTTTTCTGGCCCCAAATTTGTCACTCACAGGGCAGCAATCTTCTCAGACTTGGAAAGAGACTCAGTGCAGCTTTGTGCTTGAACATTAATGATCTATTAGCTCCAAGTGCACTAGCAGCCATATCTGGGAAGGGAAGGGACCTCTCAGCCAGGTGTCTGAGATCAATCCTACACCTGCCACAGTGAACTGTCATTTAAAGAAGTCACTTGGTTCCAAATGCAGAAGCTACTCCTGATCATCAGTTATTGCCCATTACAAAGAACTCAAAAAAGTCTGATGGCATAGAAAAAGTAAACAAAAGATTAATATCCAACATTTATATGCAAGCAATACATCATTAATGATCATTATGGAGAACTTGCTTAGTTCAAATGAGGTTCCAGAAGACTGGAAGCGTTTCACTGTAGCACCAGTATTTATAACAGCCACCCTGGGGAACAGCAAGCCCATCAACTTGACATAGTTAATATGCAAGGTAATGGAAATAAGTAGAGGTGAAACGGAACCACACGGACACTGAATTATCTTGGGAGCCAACTTCCATGCAAATAATTAGAAACTGCCCCGTTTATTAACAGAATGGAGAGGACATTGCCTCAGACACCTTAGGTCACATTTTAACTTACCATTTAAAACTAGCACAGCATGTAGCTAGCCCTGCTGCTTAAAAACACAGCAAAGAACATTCACTGAAACTGACAGAGGACAAATCGTTTCTAAGAAAATTTGAGGAAGAAATTGTTTACATGGTTAGGAAGCAGCAGGATACCAGAAAAGAGGTGGTCTGAATTTTAGTCCCTGTTACTTTGCAACATTTTTCATTCTTTTATTAATTTCCTTAGCTGCAAAACATGGATAATATTGCCTACAATCTTATAGTTGGTGTAAAACAAGAGAGACAAGTGAAACTACTTTGCAGAATGTAAGACAGGAGAGGGAAATGCAAATGGCACGATAGCCGAACAGCACAGGCACTCAGTCACCATGGGGATTTTGCCAACCTCCTGAGATAGTGTCTTTCAGCTCTGCCTATTGTTGCCTTGAAAACATGCTGGACTGGTGTCCCAGGCAGGTCTTCCCATTTTAGAGCAAAATTGCAAATAGCTGTTCTCTTACTTGATAAGAAACCTCTCAATTTTGAAAATGCAGCAACTGAAACAAAAGTTCCTGAAACTGTTTATGCAGCCTGCATCCTGTCCATGGGTTATTTGTCTTCTCTCCAACCTTTCCCCAGTAAGTAATATGGTATAAGCACAATTAGGAATTTTATTTGTTGATAATAACAATAATTACTAACATTTAAACAATTATAGGATAGAATACTTACTGTGTTTCAAGTACTTGTTTTATTTTGCTGTGAAAATGAGGGTCCCCTCCCCCGGCTTTACTAAGGTATAATTGTCAAATAAAGATTATATATATTCAAGATACACAGCATAATGATTAGACAATGAGTTTTTTGTTTTGTTTCTTGTTTGTTTATTTGTTTGCACTTCTAGGGTCAAACACAGTGCCTCGGGTATGCCAGATGAATGTCCAACCCAGACTGATGTTCTTCTATCTGTCATGCAAAATAATCCCAAGAAGTCTACTAGAAGGTAATATAATTTTTGTTTTTATACACATGGAAACTGAGTGAAGTTACCCCTGGTTAAAATTATCTGAATTTTCTGGAAGTTCTAATTTTTTAAAAAAATTAATGGAAACCTTAATTTTTAAAAATATTGATAGTGGGCATGATGTAGAATTCCCTCACCTTCAGCTTTTCTTAACAAAATTCTTCACTGTGACCGTCCAAGGGAATTTTTCTAAAAGCACAATTAATTGTGGATCTTTCTAGTAAATAAGTACACAGAATTTGTCAAAATTTTCTCTCATACATTTACTTTGCTTCAGCTTACCCTGATCCGTGGAGTTTGTAAACTGAGTAAAACTAATAGATCATTTTTCTTTCACCAGGCAAAAGAGGGAGTGGGCAGAGAAGGCAATTTCTTTTTCTGACTTACATATTAAAGTTAACTACGAGGTGGAGAAGATAAGCTACTCAGTGCCAGTCCTGTGTCAGCTTCAGATGCAAGGTAACTGAGTTCAAAGGGAGCAAAATAATGTTTCATCTTCTTGTTATTGCACATTAAAGACTCCTCCAGAGGTCTGTGCTTCTGGAAAGTAGCATCTAGAAGGAGTCTTCAAGTTCAAAAAAGATATTTCCAAGAAGATCTTGGAATACAGAAAGAAGGGACTTGCTGGAAGCAAGCAGCGCTCAGTCAAATGACCAGGTGAATACCTGAATGATGAATGAAACTTGGCTTTACTTTCCCTTTCTCCTTCTCCCTTAGCAGGTCTTTGTCAATCTCTATGCTCATTTGTATGACCACCAGAGAATATAACGAGGAATAGTTAAAATGCAGTGTTCTTCGTGGGACAGTTAGTACTAAAGGCTCATCTTTGGTGATTATCAGCAAAGCCCTACCAAGGAAAGAAATTTCTGATTGCCTAAAACCTTTAAGGACTCAGAAACCTGAACTGTTTCCTAGTCCAGTTTTGTATTCCTGTTCCTCCTACACTCATTCCCAATACTTCTGAATCCTCTGCCCAGTTATTTCCAGCATTTTCTTGTTTCACTGAGATGAAGGACTTCCAGGCAATAGAAAGTAGTCAAAAATATCAAAAAGAGCTGGCTAAGGAAGGTCATAGTGAAAGGAAGTCAGAAATGGACTCTTACCCAGGGTCAGCGTGCAGCACTTGAATGGTTCCGGCACACATGAATGACGAACTTGGGCAGAAGGGGCAACAAAATGGAAAGCCAGATGCCAAGGAGCCCCACATCATCTCCTTAATGACATTCTCAAGGCCTGCAACCTTCTCTTCCCATCACAGGCTGAAAGTTTCCGCCAAGGAACTAGGGGATTGGAAGAGGAAGTGTGTAACCTCCGAGGAAATCTGAAACAAAAGCAAAACAAGAAAAGAAACTTCTTTCTTCACCAAAGGAGCAATCATTCTGAGAAGCAGAGTTCTCTGAAAATGCTGTTTCCTGGGCTTGTGATAGGAACTAGTCAGTGAATTCTCAGAAGCAACCACAAAAGAAGAATCTAGGGATTATGACAGCTTGTGGGAATTTTTAACAGTAACCATGAAAAGGGAAATGACAACAATTTAAAAATTCCCAAGAATGGGTTAAGCTAGGACAGAAAAAGGAGCAGCGCTTTTCTAAAACATGAGCAACACACTTCCCCTCCATATCCCTGGAAGCAGCCTATACAGCTTGTGAGTCCAGAGCTTTTTCTATTGCATTTAACTATGTGTTTATAGAGCTTTGGGGTGTGCTTAGCACGATGCGGGGAGCTTCTTTCAATGGCCAGCAAGAGAAGACTTTTTGATTAAGCAAAGGCATCACGCATAGGAATGGCGTTAAAAGGGGGCACATTTAAGGAACCTCACGTGTCCAAGAAATCATGGAGTTTTTAGGAAACTTGCAGCTTATTGCAGACCCAGACTTCATGCTCTGTGGAGAACTAGACCCAATTAAATTGGGGGTTGCTTTTCAGTTGCCAAATTTCATGCAACTTCCGATGGATTTGGAATGAGGAATAGAGAAGCTGCCCAGAGCAAAATGAGCTGAGTCGGGAAAGGGGAAAATAGATTCAGAATGCAAAAAGCAGGGCTCTTTGATGGGGCTGAAGAACTGACACATGGAAAATGTAATGCATTATTGACAAACACGTATGCTGGCTGCAAAAATAATTAACACAAGCAGAAAAGAAATAGGAATGAAATGGAGCAGAAAGACTTTGAAAGATTGTGAAGTAGCCGCTGAAATTGCCAAGCTAATGTCAGAGAGATGATTAAAATTTTCCAATAGAACAGGTGAATAGGTACTTAGGAGAGTGTGATGTAAACCAAGAGAGAGTGGATCTTTATATGAATCTGCACTGAGGTACTAATCAGCATTTTATGTGCAACTTTGCAGTACACATTATAGCAGATGGAGGAAGCTCTTAAAAGCTGATAGCTAAACCAAGTCCCACTGCCTTTCTGTTCCGTAATAGCCAGCCCTGGAATGGGTACTTGTTCCAAGTGAGCACTGTGCAACCAGTTCCCACAATAGAATTCCAGAAATACCAATATGCTCACAAAGTACAGATATCTGCAGAAGTCTCGGACCAAGGAAGAAGAATGGGAAAGAAGGAGGTATTTAAGTCTCTAAATGAGGGTGCCTGGATGGGCAGGCCTAATCAGACAAGCTGAAGACTCAGCAATCAGATCTCAAAGGGAAAGTCAAGTGACAGTGAGAATAAATTCTTCTGTGGGCCAGACTCAGGAACGCACGCTCACACTCTTGCAGAAACTGTATTGCTGCAATAACAAAAACAATTAGACAGTGGATTGTGGATATGTTAAAAGAGAACGATTCTTCATAATCAGAATGACTTTTTCGCTCATTCAACAGAAAAAGACTCTTATTTTTTATTTGTTGGCAAAGCCAAATTAGAAAAAATATATATCTTTACGACCATAGGAGACAAATGAGTGATACCAAATATCACTAAAAATGCTATTAATCTACAGTGATATAAAATTACCATCTCAGCACAAAGAAAGCCTATATAATCTGAATTTCTCTAACATCATAAAAACGAATGAGAAGTGAAATTGAGAGTAAGTATGCTTCTGAGATGCTGTTAAGAGTTACATGCATTATTAACAAATGTGGGTAGACAGACTGGTGGTTCACCTTGAGTAACACATTCATCGAGACACAGGCAGTTTCCAAAGGGGACCAACTAACTGCCCTGTGAGTGGGTTGATGACACCTTCGATGGTGTTACTCTCCTTTCTTAGATGTTTAAGTGTAGCCAATTAGTCACTGACTTTTATGAACTATTTCCCTCAGTTTTCAATTGCTCATTTTCTGTATATTTAAGAAGCCAAAAGTACCTGGAGGGAGGGTGAGGGTATGCCAAGGAAGAGGACACAGAGTGGGATTTTCTTCTGCATGTACAGGAGCGGCCTGGGTGACCTCACCGGGTGACCAGTGAGGAACACAAAAAGCCACTGGCTCCATCACAAAGGGCCCTTCCCCAAATCTGAGTAAGATGCACACTTGTTAGTGTCCCAGCATCTCATACTTGGTCCAGGGCAGAAGAACATTAGCCTGCTTCCAGGCTATTTGCCCAAGCCTCTGGAAGAGCTAGAAGAGGAAGACAGCAGGAAGCAGGGGGCAGTAGCACCAGGCTGTTGCGAGGGTGGGAAAACAATAAGGATGTGGAGGGGGAAGGGCTAAGTAGGCATTTCTTCTTCCATATTTAAAAGAAGAAAAAGGAATGCCATCGTCACTGCTAATAGCCACACTTAGGAGAAATTTACAAAAACACATGTTACAGTTTTCAAGTTGTCTCAAGGATGGCACGGGAGCGGTATATTAAAATGATAAAGTTTTACCAAGATACCACTAGTAATCTCTGAAAGTTTTCTGTTAACCAGTGAAAAATGCAAGGGTTGATTGCAATGCCCCTTTTCCTTTTTTGTTGGTTTTCTTCTGCACAGATTATCCCATCACTATTGTAATACTACATGCAATACATTCCCAAAAGATGAGCAGGGGCTCTTCCTTAGAATCCCCTCTTACTGAGACTGAGCAGTTTCCTGCCCACAGGCACATACTTAGATCAAGGTTAATCTGGAAATAAAATTGAAGTCTCATCCAGTCCATTGTTCTTTCCATGAAACTGAACCAGGCACCTTTTCCTAACATCATGATAGGTAGAGGCACCAGCTGTATGGATGCAGAGATGCTGGGGTCTCAGGATGATCCCAGGGACAAATCCAGCTTTGCACGATCTGATTCTTAAAGGTTGGGGGGATTCTTAAGAAGGATAGCTCAAAAAGATGAATGCAAAATCAGGCATTAATGGGAATATATATTTTGAACTAATAAAGAAATCTCAGCATCATCAATTTTATAAAACTGTCACATATCATAACTTCAAAAAACCCCAAGGAAAATCAGATTACTTTTTAGTGACCAATTGTCTTATACAGTTCTATAAAGCTGGTTTCCTTACCTTTTGGCTTCCATACTCTTTGATTGCCTCTTTATATGGTAATGATTTTATAATATTTCCTAGAGAGAGGATAGGTGAATAATTTAGTCTTTCATGTAATGTCGTTGATCAAACTGTGATTATTGATGACTTCAAAAAGTGACTTTTCACGTTAGCCATTCATTGGCAATGGCAATATCTATAAATTCCTCAGCAGTTTCTTGCTCTAGGTCAAAGCTTTTGGAGACTGCCAGCCCTCTGATCCCACTAGGCAACTCCTCACAATGCCCCAGGCCCCGTAGATAGTGCCTGTTCCTCACAAGGCCTGATCCTGGTGTCAGGGGGCTCTGAAGCTGGAGGCAGAGCCGCAATGAGTACAGCCTGGTTCAGACCCCTTGTCCTTAAAGCAAAGGCAGGCCAGGATGTCCAAGTGGCTTGCCAGAAGACATTGTCATTAGTGTCAGGTGAATAGAGAGGAATTTTAAAGCCCACCAGTCTAGCCAGCAGCCCCAGCACCACCTCAGGCAAGGACTAAGATGCTCCCAGGATGAGCCTATGTTCTTGGTCCAGGCAGCTTTCTCCTGCAGATGACACCTGAGCCTTGAATTTCAAACTTCTCTAGCTTTGCTGTGAACCCACCTTTAGTTGGCTCTGGATAAATTATGAAACAGCGGATTCACTTTTAGGATCGCCCTTTGTTATGGCTTGTATCCAGTGCCCCCCCCAGAAAGCCTCATACAGTCATAGGTGGGGAGTTTTGAAGGTGGCTGGGTTAGGGTGTGTGAATGTGGATTAAGGGTGTGATGCTTGGATTAAGGGGGTGGATAATGGAAGCTTACGCTGGGTGTGGGTGGCACCAATCAATAGGCTTGTAGCCTGGATGGAATACAAAGGGAGAGAGGGAAGGCAGGCTTGCTGCTGCTGGTTGTTGCTTTGTTGTCTTCTGGCTGCTTGCCATGGACTATTTCTCCTTTGTGGTACCCCACTGCCGTGCCACCCTGCCTTGGAGCCAGCAAACTATGAACTGAAAGCTCTACAAATGGGAGCTGAAATAAAGTTTTCCTCCTTTAAGTTTGCATGTTAGGTATTTTTGTCTCATCAACAAGTAACTAAGATACCCTTTAAGCACTCTTCCTGTTTTTCGAATGAAACTGCAGGAGAAATTCACAAATAGAGAACTTACATAGTAAGAGTGAAGCTCAGAGAAACTTCTCTAATCTATCAACAATAAATTATTAAATTTTGATCAATCCTTTTGGAGGAAAGACTGAATAATCTTTCTACATTCTTTGAGGTAAGTTATAAAACTGTCATATGAAGAGTATGCAGCCAAAAACTGTAAAAGAATTGTAGTGGGATGGTCTCTCACTGACCCTAGAAGCCAGAGGAGATATCCAAGTTCTGTAGGACTCACTCTTGGCTTCCAAGCGGAGCTCATGAAGTAATATTTCCGTGTAAATAAATGCCTGGAAACTGATTACACTGCCCCATACCTAGAATGATAGATTTAAACTAGAAATCTTTAAAATAAAATGCCCAAGATTTTAAAGACTAGCTTTAACTGTGGGGTGTAGTGGAGCCAGTAGGGGAAAATGCTGTGATGTTGGACAAATTTCCCTTAATTAAACCAAGAGATAGACACACCCATGACGGGATGTCTAAATACAACACCAAGTCTGAGCTTAGTAGGTTTGATCAAGTTGCCACCTGTACTTTCTATAACTAATTTTTTAGCCTCCTTTTTAGTCTTCCTCTCCTCTTGTATTAGAATGGAGAATGATACTGTGGTTAAACTTAGCTTGTAGGATCTAAAAACACCAATATCACCATGCCCTACATATAGTGCTTAATAAATGTGACTTCCTTCTTCTGATTTTACACTACAGGCCCTTATATTTTACAGATACTTTTCTAAAGTGTCTTTCATCTTTGCTAAATTATCCATTTATGGAACTTAAGTTCTGCTGAAAAAGTCCTTGAAGAGATCCATTGTTTTTAAGTCCTTACTAATCCTGATTTTTGCTTTATCTTCTTCACCCAAAAATCAAACCCTGAACTCTTGCTTTGACTGCATAGTATTATGGTACATAGTATACATTTTTCTCCTATTCACACTTCCAGAGTCTGCATGTATTTCTAACCTCAGGAGTGTCTGAAAGCAACGAGGAGCCATCCCCTCCATATTCAGTAGCCTGCAGCAAAGTTTCCCATGGCGATCAGAGGACATACACTCAGTTGTCTAAATTGGATACTTTAATGTCTCAAATTTTTCTGATAATCAGAAATGTATTTTTCTGGACCTCCTTCCAAAGCATGTTGACTTCTGGGACTGGCATGGAGCTGTGTTCAGTTCTTGGTTGTTGAATGCATCAGGCTTTATTTATTTCTTGAAATTCATTACCTGCTTTTGAGGGAGACAGAAGGGATTGGGGAGAAGAAGGCAGGTAAGGTAGAATGCTAGCTCAAAACAAACCGATGAAAAGGTAATTACTGCCTTTGATCTTTGGCTTCATGGTCAACCTGAGTTCATTGTTTTCAAAACTGAAAAGAGATGACTAGAAATAAACAGGAAGGCACATTGAGTTGCAAAACTGATCAACATGGGCACACTCTATACCAGCAGATCCCTCTGACTGTAAAGGGGAAGGACAGTATACCATGGCTTCCTTCAAATTGACTTGTGTTCCCAAAATTAAAGGAACAAAAGAAATGTTTTCAGGGGGTTTAATTTGAACAAATAGGAGTGTAGCATTAGCACAGTATTCTTTGGAGTCAAAGCTAAATTTCCCTTGCTGATCTTTGCTGATAAACATTTTAGGCTCAAAGTGGACCCATTTCCATTATCTGTGTGATGCATACCAATTTTCATTGGTTTTTAGAAGGACCGTTTTCTATTGAAGTTATGCAGAAATCACTGACTGATTACTAATGTATATTCTCATAAGAAATAAATGCTTGTCATGAACATAGAAGTAAATAGTTGCTAAAATAACAGCATTTGGAGTAACCAAGAGAATTTAAGCTAATCCAGTCATTTTATAGATGGAAGAACCTAGTCTGAAGTTGCTGGTGGGACCAGGACAAAGAAAGATGACTTTCTTTGACCAGTTGCTGTCGTTTGAATGCATCTCCTCCAACAACCATGTGCTGGAAACTCAACTCCCAATGCAACAATGTTGAGAAGTGAGCCCTTTTGGGAGATGTTAGGATTAATGCCATTATTAAGGAGTGAGTTCTTGCTCTTCTCCTCTTTTTCCATATAAGAACATAACATTGCTCCTCTCCAGAGGACCTAGCCTTTACAGCACCATGAAAGCAAAGAGACTAAGCCTTAATCTGCTGGTGACTTGACCTGAACTTTCAGACTTCAGAGCTATAAGAAATAAAGTATTCATTATAAAGTGTTCAGTCTCTGAGTACTTTGTTTTAGCAGCAAAAAATGGACTAGACACCAGAATTAACATCCAAGTGTTTAGGTATCTACTCAAAGTAAAGCCATGAGATCATAGTATTTGTTTGCCACAGTGAAATAACCTGGAGGGGATTTGAGGACATCTAGGTGATCTGGATGACAACATTTACTACATTTTCTTTATATTTTATGATGATGATAATAAAAATAAAATATAAAATATTAGAAGCAGATATTAAATATTGAACTTACTAAAAACTCAAATTTTTTCAAAATTTTAATGAGAAAGTTGAATTTGCTTCCATGCACATAACTAGTTTATACTGTTTTATGCTTGAAATGGCTATGAGAAAGTCTTGAGAAGTCTTTTTAATGATCTCTTCAAGTTCTTGATAGTCACCATTGATGAGAAACTTTGTTCAAACAAGTAGGTGATAAAAAATTTAAAACCATTTCTTACGGCCATTCAAAAATTTACAACAGTTGAAATTATCTTTGAGGAATCCAAGAGCGCTTCTTTTAAATTTTCTTTGACTGATATAAATGTTGAAATTTCTTGTGATAATAAGAATAGAGTTTAATTCAGTCAAACATTTTTATTCCAAGTATTTCAAAGGAAAAGTGCTTGGGGGCCGGGGATTTAGCTCAGTGGTTCTGCTGTCTGCCTTGCAAGCTCCAGGTCCTGAGTTCAATCCCTGGTACCAAAAAAACCCAAAAAGAAATAAACTATATTTGAAAAAAAAAAAAAGAAAAGTGCTTGGACATGCAGAATGTATGTGAAGAGCTCTCACCTTTGCCATGCCTCTGGCATGGACTCCATCAAAAGGGTACATCTACTGCAAATGGCCTTAAGGTACATGTGAAGAAAGAGGTGCAGGGCTCCCTTCGGAGCTTTGCATTACAAGAGGCCTCCTCATCTCCCACACTCGATCTAGACTTAGATTGACATCACCTTCCATAAGGCCCTAGAACAAGTCTCTAGCATCTCTGCAGAGCTCTTACCCACAGTGGGCAACAGTGTGCTCTGCAGTGGACTGCTGAGGTAGATAATGAGGGTCACTTTCTTGGCAGTGCTCAGTGTGCTACAGACAAGCTCATGACACTGGCCATCTACAGGGACTTTGGGGTGCACTGTCAAGGCCCTCTTGGGCTGCTTTTAGGAGTCAGACTGATGTTTAACTCAGGACCTCAGTTACCCCAGGCTTCCAGGGCTAAGTGTTCATAGTTTACAATACACAAGTAATCCCTTTTGTGGCCCAGAAATCAGAAGGCCCAGAGAATGCAAAAGGCTGGCCCAGGTCCACAAGCCATGGCTCAGGTCTAAACTGGGATTGTCTACCATTCTGTCTTTGTTCCTCTTTCCACAGTCCATTAATAATCTAACCAACTTAGCATCCTAGAGGATGGAAGTGGTGTCTCTGAGTTCTACCAGTGAGCTGCAAATGTGGTAGCTTCACTTCTCATGTGTAACAAATGATGGTCCTTGAAATTCCTACAATGAGTATCCAATAGAAAATTTGTTTTACACATAAATTAAAAATAAGAAATCCTATTGTGCTCATTGTCAGATCACAAAGATATTACTGTCCTCTCTCCCAAATGTTCAGTGTCAATGAGATTGGGACCACTGGCCAAGTTGAAGTTAAACAAACATCACTACAGATACCAAAAAAAAAAAAAAGCAATTTCTTTTAACATTACTTTTTACCCAAGCTCCATTCATTATCTGACTTTGCATATGCTTCATCCATTTCAATTCCCCTGGGCCAAGCAGTTTATGTTATAAAGAGCTGCAGCCTGCACTGAAAATGCCCTTCTTCCATCTTTGCTTTTAAAAAGGAAAACATTTCTTTTTTCTATGCCCGAAAAGAAATGCTGAGTGGACAGCCCTGGCGGCTTCTGTTTATACTGTGTGAAGCTGCAGCACAAATCAGCACCAAGTGTCTCTTGATTTCTGCCTGGAACAATATTATTCTGCAGGGACCCACTATGGAGTCCAGAGGGTGATGTATTCCTTGCTGTTATATGTCTATGCCCAAGAGGGCAATCGCAGCTCCCCGCGATGCTGCAAGATGGCGAACAGCGATGGTGTGGGGAGGGTGATACACACTCTCGACATAACCCATTGGCAGCGCACATTTCTTGAGGACCTACTGAGTACAAAGCCATGTGGTAAGTATTATGTGCTCCATAATATGAAATAAGTCGACGTGCTAAATCCAGTTCTGGATAAAAGGAAATAATAATAAACATTTATTAAACATTTCCTGTAGATGAGGCACTAAATCAAAGACATTACATGAATCATCTAATTAATGTTCACTATGCTCTAATAAAGGCTCCATTGTTATCCCAATTTTATGAATAAATGTTTTATTATTCCTAAGATTATAGCACCTCTATAAAAAGTTTCTCCCTAATCACCTTCTCTAATGCAAGTACATTTTTCTCCACCTCAGCTCCATGTTTGTTTTCTATATGATACTTCCCACCCTTCATTTGTTTGTTTAGGCTGTCTCTTTCACTAGTATACTATCTTCCATGAGACCAGAACATGTATCTTTTGTTTCACCCCCTTGGAAGAGCCCTTGGACACACAGAAGGATCTCAGTATTAGTTGAATGAATGCACGAATAAACATATAAGCAAGTGAATGAATAAAACTGAAATGAAGAAGTTAAGTGCCTTGCCTGAGACCATAGAGCTAGCGAGTGGCAAAGCTGGGACTCAGTGTTCACCATTACCATTTTACTTACCTTAAGTACACATGTTCTCTCCTAAATATATATATTATGTCAGTTGAAGATTTGTGATGTAGGCAGAAACACCAGTACAGAAGACTCCGGGCTCTGCACTGAGATGAAAGTCCCATTCTCAGGAACAGGCTAGAGCTACTTCCTGTTTTAGAACTCAGTCCTTAGCTGAAAAAAGGTTGGGACACCTGCTAGATGCACTGACCCTCTAACCATTTCATTCTTTCTTACTTATCTTTTGATTTCTGTCCTCCACTTTTCTTTTCCACCCCAAAACAATGGGTATAGTAGACACTCCTCAGAAACTAGGTATTGTGGATACTTGCACAGCTGTGTATCATTTTCCCTAGTGTAAGAAATGGAAGGGACTGGAAAAATGAGCTCATAAGCTGGTTGAGCCAGCACACGAGCTGGAGCCAAGAAGGCTCATTCATTATCCAAACTCCATTCATTATCTGACTTTGCTCCCAGAAGCTACATGGCCAGATGTCAGTTTTTCCCATTGATATTGGACCAATTGGAAGAATAGAAAGATTAAATTAGTGAGAGAATTGGCTGTCTTCTAGGGCTTTCCTCTCCTCCTGGGCCAAGAGGAGAGAATTAAACATGGTGACCAGGGCTTCAATCAGAGGAGACACAACAAATTACTGGACTAATAAGTGACTTCTTAGTTGGATTTTTAAAATTCCTCTTTATTAATAGTGAATCTTTCCCTTAAGCTCCTTCTGTGGGAGAATTTTAATGGGAAGTTCTGTCTCATAATCTTGTAAATATCACTGTTTCTCTCATATATAGTTCAATTATTGCATTGAGATTAAAATATCTTTTTCTGCTCCTTCTCACGGGGAGATTTCCCAGAGACAGTGAGACTCTGCAGACAGCCAGCTGCTTTGGGATTCATAAAACAGTGATATTTAAAAATCTGCAGATGATGCTCACCAAAATGTTTCTTAGTGAAAAAAGTAGCAGATGGAATTTATTATCTCATCTCGGGGAGAGGGTGCAGCTGAGTCCCTTCTCCATGTGTGGGGTCAGGGAATTTCCTGAGGCATGAGTGGATGTAACTTACTTCTCATACACAGGCTATGGAATATTAAGGGACATTTCTCATCTCTTTTTCTGAAAATGGCATCTCCACGTTATTGCATGAGTTTCTTGGATTTTCTCCTAAATATCATAGTATCTAAAAATAAAGAGCACTGGTGTTATCAGTGGTTAGAAAAGAATCTTTGTACATCTCGTAGCTAAACTTTTCACATCTTTCACTGGAGGCTTTCCTTCACCTCCTGTCCTCCCTCTCTCCCTCTTTTCTGTTCTCTCTCTTTCTCTCTCTCTCCTTTGTCTCCATCTTTTTCTTCCTAACATACATCTATTTCTCTTGAACAATTGTCTATCTTTGGCACCTTCTCTAACATCTCTTGGCAATATTATAATGAGTGTGTTTTCATCCTAAACCACACAGCAAATCCCCAGATGCAATACCTTAGATGCTCCTCTTCCAGGGGTTGAGTCATCTGTTGGGCCCAATGTGCAATTGAAGAGAGTTCCATGTCCCCCAGCATCATCATGATAGTTTCAAGAGTATTGGCAGCTAGGAATTGGGCCAGCTGGACCTTTAACCTCATGTATAAAGTAACTGGAATGTCTTTCATCAGCATGGGTGTTCAGATGAGCTCCCATTAATATTGTCTCAAATTTCTTTCTCTTGTCCCCACCCTGCTAGTCCCCTGCCAAGTCCTCCTATGTGTTCCTGGAAGTCCCCAAATAGTGTCTCGTCTCCTCACACACCCGCCACTCAGGCATCCATACAGTCCCACTCCATCCTCCCCGCTCTAGACCTCCACTCAGAACAGGCTGACAGGAAGCTCCCTGTAGCACCAGATGGTAATGCTCATGGTGAGAGCACAGTGCTTAAAACACATGCAACATTGGCCCAACCCACCAAGTTTTGAGGAGCCAGAGCTGACTCTGGGTGCTCAAGGGAGTGGAGGAAAATGATCCCCATTCTACTTCTGTGCCATACTTTGGTATGTACAAGAAGGGCTGCCTTGGGGTCCAGGTAATCATACTGTTACGAAAATCACTTTGGCTTCTGGCCCTCACCCTTATCCCCATTAGATAATAACTCAGCCTTAGGAATCAGCTGCTGGAAGAGGCTAGAGTATGTCCTTCATTCTCCATGTCCATGTCCTCCTTCTAAGCC